CGGCGCAAAGGACGGCTTTTCCACCGTCACCTCGATGGAAATTAGCCTGGAAACGAAGCGCGCCGCATACGGACCCGGGAAAGCTTGCACGTGGCGGAATACGGGACGCCGTATTTTCGAATAGCTGGTTCCAGCAGGAGTACGGCGAAACCTAAACATTTTCGCCGCGATTTCGACTTGAAGACTTCGATTAGCGCGAACGGGTAGAAGTTAGTTTCGCGCCCGTTCAGATGAGCTGGCGCGTGCGGCTCGATGGAAATTAGCGCCTCGTCGACTAAGAACTTAACCGAACTATTGCTCTAGGAGGCATTGGAACCCCCGTGAAATGCGGGACCAAAGGGCTGGCGGTGCTTGGTGTTGCCGTACATGCACACCGTCGCGTAGGGAATGAGCGGGCGGAAGCATGAGGCGTCGCGCAAACCACTTGCAGATTCTAATCGAAACTCGACAAGCGCTTTCGGCGTGCCATCGTCTGCCATTCACGCTACGGGGTGCTGGGAGGTAATGAAGGTGGAAAGTTGAGAGCCAAGCGCAGGAAGCGGAGGGATAGTAGGAATCAAGATTACAAATTTCCAGAAATGCAAGATATCAAAATGTGCCATGATGCAATTTGTGCTGAGCGAGCCAAATCCGTTTCATCGCTTCAATCGCCAATCTCGCGACGCTGTGCGTTACAGGAAACCGCAGGTGGAACGTTGGTTCGCCGTGCCGTATCGTTTCGTCCTTGTCGTCCTGAGCTGCCGCGTGGCCGTTGAGTGCAACTTCAGCAGGAAACTGGAGCGTCGCCGAAGGTGGTCTCGCATATTCGCTGAGGGTCAACTTATCAAGAGCGAAAACATATCTTGCAGTTGCCGTTCAGCGACGCTGGGAAGAGCAGGTTCAGGTTGCTTTCTCGCAGAGTTTTCGTGAAAGAAATCGGCCAACGAAATCCAAAGGGTTACCGAGGCATGTTACCGTACGAGTAGCTGGACGCACACTTTCGTGCTGCGGTTGAGCCAATCAGAAAATGTGAGCGCCAATTTGCATTGCTTCACGTTCGTGGCTTGCGAAAGCTTTTGCGACTGCCATGCTGGATGTCACAGGCGCTGGCGCGAACAGAAAACCTCCACTCAATTTCTCAACGATGGCTCAAGCGTTCGCATGCGACTGAGTGCACCACCACCAGCACCGCTCAAACGAGGGCAACCGACAGGCGACCGACACCCATGCGACGATATTTCACAATTTGCGCGCCTCGAATCTGGCTCTTGTTTGATCAAGGGGGAAGGGAACATTTGTTGGCCTCGCTCGATAAATCTGAAATCCCCACCTCCCTCCAGCTCCCACCATTACCTTACCAGCGAAATAAACGGCCCTCTAGTTCCCCAAACATCTAGTTCATCATCTCGTACTGCGTATGCTTAGCAAATCGTAGCTTTCACCCAACGTGATCTTGTCGCGATACCTGTGTTCTCTTTAGAAATTCGGCTCTGCATCCGAAGTTAACCAGGAATCTCCATGGCTAGGGTTCGAGTTCCACAGGCACTGCTAACGACTCTGCTTATTTTAGCATGTAAGTATCAAAACGCTTTCATTCTCTTCGAGAATTGATATTGAGAATGTCACAAATACGTCTTCGGGTCTTCCGAGTTAAACAAGAAATCTATATAGAGCGTTTCGTCTGTAACGTGCTTCGCGCGCGAGCTGTACAAACATTTCCTGCCTTCCGCCTGTTTCGTTTGAATCTGTTCACAATTCGGCTATAGCGCGCGTTCTAGTCTATTCACTTGGAACATTTTCCACTCCGTTCCACCCTTCCCCTGCCAGGTACCATCGCCATAGACGGCCAGAAGCTTGGCACGCTGAAAAGTGAGTGATTTTCTCCCTTATCTCTTGTGAATGGAGCTGCGCGAAGTTATCGTGTTTCGTTCGATCTGCAGACTGCAGAACGACCAGTCTCGTTGTAAATGCTTCCAGGTCTATTCCATAACAGCGGGACTCGGGAGGGAGGTCAAATGCATGCATTACACACGCTGATGTCGCCAACCTTCCACCTCAATCTTCCTAATCGATCTTTCCAAACAGAGTGATACCTTTCATTAACGACTCCCAATCCTTGCCCCCCTTTTGTCTCCCTTTCCTTTCCCCGTCCTGAACGTACTCGACCATTTCTCCCCCATCCCTTTCTCCAGGAAGAGTGTCGACTTTCATTAACGGCGGTTTCTCAGCCAATGTGAAGCTCTCGCTCTACACATATTACAACAAGTATAATATCGCATTCGAAACCGTTCTCACCACCACCAACGGAACCCTGCTCCCGCCGTTCCAGCACACGCTCGTCAACGCATCGGATGATACTCCCTATGTTATCTTTCCTCCTGGTGTGTGGGACGTGAAATACGAGAAGCAAGACGGAATTGTAACGGGCTATTCTTACACGGGCACCGGTGCTGTTTTCAACAGCAACGGGTACACTGGAACTGCTGCGGCGAGTGTCGAGCCCCTTGCAATAACGCGTACGCTGAGCAGGATGGCGAGGTGGCCGGCGCGGTTCAAGGTTATTCTCCAGGATTCTGCGAACAACACTCTTGGATCTAGGGCGCTCAACTTCGCTTGAGACTGCTGGACATGGGCATAAGTACGCTGTACAATAATAAGCCTCATTTACTAGATTTGACCACAGTTGAGACTCTTAGAGGCATAGGCTCCATATTCTTGATACAATAGCTGCACTGCACATCGTTGTACTGTCATGCTTCTCAGTAATCTATGTGCTTCAGTTCTTGTATCCAGACCAGTTACCGGTATGTGCTGATATGTATCCACAGAAGTTGTGGGAGAACCTTCAGCATCAAAGTAATCCTGTAGCAGCATACGTTATTTTCGCCTAGTACAAGCCTTGAACCTCTGGTATCTTGCTAAATTCACTGTCCATGTTCAAGGTTAAAAAGGCAGTGCAAGAGCCTTATATTCGCCTCTTATGGGGGGTCAACAATGGAGAGGGGAAAGTTGAGTTTGAGCCAATGAGTTGAGTTTATGCAAGGAGCACAAATAAAGAAGTCTAGGTGAGTTTGAACAGGATTTATTCTTGCCTTGCAATGATGCCCGTAAATATTGTTGCCCTAGCTAAAGATGTGAGAAAAGTCATGAACCAATTTTAGTATACGGCCACAAACTATCATTCCATAACTATCTCACACCTTTTCTGTAGGCTGGTTTTTTCAATTTGTTACCAAGTTATTGTGAATCGGATTGGCGAAAGGTAGCGGGTGAAAAAGGTTGTAATTTCCTACGAAAACTCATCGCGATTCACTGGATTGACGACGAGCCGTCGCTCGTCAGGGCGTCGCAGGTCGTCGACGATACACCGACACAAGTGAGGGAAATTGGTGTTTTGCGGTGCTTTCCTGGTGACAGAGGTATATGCGACGGAAGCGCGACTCGAGCGACCGAATGTCGGATTTGCGCGATGAATGCGACGCGCAACAAGTGAGATCTGCGACGAAACAGCACACTTCCTCATCAAGCCCACCATAGGTTATGGTGTTCTATTTCTTTCTCCTCGCTATTTTGTTGTGAAAACTAAGGCAAGTCAGAAATAGGCCACTCTGCGCTTGAGGGTGTCGCAAAGGAGCTCCAACGCCATAGCCTGATCCCGTGACATTAGAAAGTACAGGTTGTCGTAATCCTAGAGTGGTTCCCGAAATTCTGTTTCACAGATATCTTCGTTAACAGGACAGGAACGCTTTAGCATAGCTCACACATGAACACCCTAGCCAGCTCGATGCGATTGTGGGAGGAAACGGAGCTCGTTCCGTTATCAGTCTCTTGGGAAGCAAACCTGCCGGGCACCGTCAGTATCGCCGCCATATCGCTCGAGAATGACCAACCGTTAAAGAAGATCGTCTCACCTGCCGTTAAGGATCTCAACGGACGGTTTTCAGGCGCCGCGTCATTTCTCGTAGACACTTCCCTGCTCCGACCGTCGCTGCCACGAGAACTGCCGCAGCAGCAGCCGCAGCAGCAGCAGCAGCAGCTGCTGCAGCAGTTGAAGCGACAGCAGTATCCTCGACTCTTCATCGATTTCTACTCCTGCTCGAGGCCCTTAGATTCCAAATTGCTTGGCCGTGCGACAATTCCCCTTGAAGCAGTCTTCGCCAGCCAATCAGTAAAGGGCTCGTACGACGTCGTTCAACCCGGCGGGATCGCCGGGCGACAGAGCACGACTCGTGGAATCGCACAGGTGCATGTGCGATCAGGAAGCGCGATTCCTCTGCCTCGGCGAGGGCAAGCGGATTACCAGCGACTAGCCAATGTGCAGTCGATCATGAACCCCGCACGCTTCGCGCTCCCGGCGACTGATTTTCGCGAAACTTCGCAAGATCATCGCCACAGCGTGAATCACACTCACGTGCGAGTGCGGGAGTTAGGTCCTTCTAACGCCTCAAATGGAAGGCGGGGCAATTTTCCGGAGCAGTCAAGGAGCGGCGCTGCTCCGCGTGAGGCTGCGAAATCAGGAAAGGAGAATGTCCCACCCGTGGTGGTCATTCGTAACCCTGACGGTATGCTCGAGGGATTGGGTTTCCTGGTCGTCCGCGCGTGAAAAAGCGGAACAAGTTTGAGTTGGTCACATGCCTTGGGCTTACCGTAACTAGCGGTCCCCAGGGAAGAACAGCAACCTCATGGAAAAGGGGCGCACGACTCGGGGAGGCATCAACCATAAACACAGGAACAATTATGATTAGTGATTGGGGTTGATGTATCCCCAGGTGGCAGTGCATCAGGTATGGGTTTACCTAGTGTTTTTCTGTCAGGAGTGACAGCATTGGCTTCTAGCAAGCTCAGTTCGAGCTTCTTCTGTTTGTGCCTTGTATAGAGCGTTCTCCAATACGGAGTGGTTTGCTTAGTCATCCATTCTGATCATTCTACAATCTGCAATCCCAACATCTAACCAAAAGGGGGATTTTTGTCACTACACCACGGCTTAATGTTGCATGACAAGCTGACCTCCCTACTGCTTATCACCTAACCCGTCCCCCAAACAATCCCCCAGTGTAAACAACGTCAGCGCACACAAGCAAACGATTGTGACAGTAATGAATGGAGGAATTCGCAAGTGCCACGCCAGTAGGGAACGGCAGCGGGAAGCCAGATCGCAGGCGGTGATTAAGCAGAGGGATGAGGACAGAGCGAGAGAGAGCAGACACGATCGTTTGAAGTATATGAGTGGGGATATTGCCGACCAGACTCCACTCCTCCTGTGCTTGAAACTTAACGAGTTGCACTGTAGCGGTGATATTGCTTCCATCCACAGCAGCTGTTCCCGCACACACAGCAACCATTTTCACGCCAATCACATCGGTCTGGTTCCACGTCTCGCCTGGTAACACGGTTACCATAAGCAGCGCGTCGATCTCCAATCCGATCCCACCAGGTGTCAGCGTGGCATTGGGCGGTTGACTGGCGTTGACTCGGAAGACCAGGTCAGCATTGGGGTACTCGTGGAACATTCTGGGAAGGATCCAGCGCCACCCCTTGGTGTTGAGAAGCTTCCAGGGGAAGGAATCTGGCAGGTGATCTATGGTGTAGGAGAGTGCACCAGCCTGGAGGGGGTGAGGTGGGGAAAGGGCGAGGATGAGGGTAGAGCACGAGGGAAGGCAGAAAAAAAGTCCAAGGCATAAATACTCGCCTAATAACCCCACCTGATAACCCCAACTGATAGCACCCACCTGACAATACACTTGGCTGGCCATTGCAACAAGGCCGTGAGCGAGAGTTCTGAGCCATCTAGAAGGTCCACCTGTTCACCCACCCACCTGGTAATACACCTGTCTAGCTGAAGAAACAAGGTGCTGAGAGAGAGAAAAGCATTTTTGAGCCATCTAATAGGACCCCAGTTCACCCACCCACCTGATAATACACTTGGCTAGCAGAAGCAACGAGGTGCTGAGAGAGAGAGAGCGCCACCATCCGCCCTGCCTCGCCACACTCATCGGCCTCCCCCACACACGTTGCATTGCCCACCACACTCCCTCCCTCACTCCCTCCCATCACACTCCCTCCCTCACTCCCTCTTCCATGCCCACTATCCATCACTCTCCTTGATTCCTCCTCCCCCTTTCCTCCCCCTATCCTAGCCACCCCTTCACCTTCATGTCTCCCCCTCTCCACCTTCCCACCAGCATTGCTAATCGCACCCCCTTCCCGCAACACCCTCACGTCTTGGTAGCTGCTGATGTCAGCACCACGGTCGATTCTCACACCACTACCACCAATAATCCGTCCGCTGATGTCAGCAGCAGCACGATGAGACAGCGTGCTGACATCATCATCATCATCATCATCATCATCATCATCATCATCATCATCATCATCATCATCATCATCATCATCATCATCATCATCATCATCATCATCATCATCATCATCATCATCATCATCATCATCATCATCATCATCCCGCATCACTCTAACGCAAAGGTAGCTGCTGATGTCAGCACCACGGCCGCCGTCCAGCCCATCACCAATAATACTCCGCATGCTGACATCATCATCAGCAGCATCAAAATCATCACGATGGGACAGCAGGCTCCGATCCGACGGCAGGAAACGGCCGTGGCAAGCGAGCGAGATGCCCTGGCCGTCGATCTCAGGATCGCCAGGCAGAGTGGCGTCAAGAGCAGCGGTGGCATCGATGGGCACGATGCGGGGAAGGGCCTGCAGAGCAGCGTTGGCAGTGGCGACCACGGTGTCAAGGCTGCTTGTGATGGCCGCTTCCATGGCTGCCCTCAGGTGGTTGGGTAGCATGTCTACTAGCCTGGGTTGCGGGACGGGGAGAGGAAAGGCGGAACCGAAACGGGGGTTTGAGGGTGCAGGGGATACAGCAATTGTGAGGGAGGGCCTGGAGAGCAGCGTTGGCGGTGGCGACTACGGTGTCAAGGCTGCTTGTGATGGCTGCTTCCATGGCTGCTCGTAGGTGGTTGGGTAACAGATTCACTACTCTGAAGGAGGAGGGGGGGAGAGGAAGGGGGAAAGAGGAAGGGGGGAAGGGAGTCAGGGGGTGGATTGGAGGGCCTGCAGGGCAGTGTTGGCAGTGGTGGCTACCACGGCTGCTTGTAATTGCCTCTTCCATGGCTGCACGTAGGTGGTTGGGTAGCAGATCCACCAGGCTGTGATTATAACGAGAAGGGGGAAAAGAGAAAGGGAAGCATGCAGGGAAGGGGAAAGAGAAGGGGAGCAGAGAGTCACACTCACACAGTGTAGAGCCAGGAGATGCTCCCGGTGAGCTGAATCTCGATCTCATCAATCGCTGCGCCGCGCTGCAGCAGCGACACCCACAGCCCCGCGACCCCCCCCTGTCCCACTCTCCCCCCTCTCCCACATCCCATACAGTCACACCCGATACAGCCACACTCACACAGTGAACAGCCAGGAGATGCTCCCGGTGAGCTGAATCTCGATCGCATCAATCGCAGCTCCTCGCTGCAGCAGCTACCTTCCCTTCTGCCCCAGTCTCCCCCCCCATTCCATACAGTCACGCTCACTCTCACAGTCAGATCACATTCCATAAAATCACACTCACACAGTGTACAGCCAGGAGATGCTCCCGGTGAGCTGAATCTCGATCGCATCAATCGCTGCACCGCGCTGCAGCAGCGAAACCCACAGCCCGCCGAACCGCTCCTGAAGCTGCGCCGCGATGCCCGCCTGCATTCCCGTGATCTGCACGCTCGCGTTTCCCGAGTCGCGCACGTACCCGCCCGCCATGACGTAACTCCACGTCAGGCTGACGTTGGCGGTGATCCTGCCAGAAAAAACGGTGATCTCGCCGCCTTCATCTCCAATCCCTAGGTCGATACTCGCATCCTCTATACTCGCGTTCCATAGAACCATATCCGTTAAGTTGACCTGTAACGAGCCGAGAGGCTTGGGAAGGTCTTTCCGAAGCTGGAGGTCAGGTATGGTAAGCGGGATGATTTCTTCTAGCACTTCCTTAACAAGCACATCCCGGAACGACTGCAGGCCGGATTCTGACAGCCGCGCGGTGATCCCGCCGGGAGATGCGGAGGCGAGAGACGCGCGCGGCGCAGGTTTCGAGTCGCCACGGCTGGAGTTTAAGCGCTTAATCGCCGTTGACCGCGCGTTAGAACCTCGACTGGTCAAGGAGACGGGTGATTTGAGAACGTCCTTCGCAGCGCTTAGCGGGTAGCGCGCGCGGATTGTGGAGCGCAGGAAGTGGGTGAGAGGGAAGGCGGTGCGCGGAAAGCCCAAGTAGCGGGTGGGCGAAAAGCGGGAGGCGTTAGCGGGAAACGCGGATAGAGCAAGGCAGATAGCCACGTGGAAGATGAGGAGCGTTGCGCGGGAATTGAGAACACGGGGACTGCGGCGAGCGCGAACAACGGCTGCGGCTCGCGAGGCAGCCATGGTTGGCACAGAATGGAGGACAGCCCCAAGGCAATGCGGGAGTGCATTTCAGTAAATTTGAGTTAAGATTTTCAGATTGCAAGCCGAGGAGCAATAGCTCAGTGGTAGAGCAATCGACTGCAGATCGATAGGTCCCCGGTTCAAACCCGGGTTGCTCCTTCAAGTGTCCCGCTTTTTGCTTACAAGCTTATCATTAGAGTGCCTTGTTTGCTAGCCAACTGGAAGCAACAGGGCAGGAAAACAACTCATGACTTTATTAAGCATCAATGTGCTCTCAATAGGCATACATCAATTTGTTTCATAAACAATCTCATGGTGGTATTACTCCTGGCCCATGCACTTCTAACCCCTTGGGTGGTACCATAAACAAGTTTGCAGGACCATCCACCCACCTACTGACCCAGCAACCCATCCTCCTAAAAGGTTATTTCATTCATCTTCCTACCAATATTGATATGCATCCCTCCACCCACCATCTGCATCATTCCTGGTGTGACCCCCCACATGACTAGCAGACTGAACCTTACAGCACCTCACAACTCAACCACTCTTCCTCTCACCCATCATTCACACCATACCTGTGCAACCCCAGGTATGTGACCAGCAGGTTCACCCGCCCACTGCCGTCCTCAGGCTGCTGGGGGCGCCGCTCCACCACCGCAGCACCCCACCACCGCAGCACTCCACCACCGCAGCACCCCACCACCGCAGCACCCCACCACCGCAGCACTCCACCATCGCAGCACTCCACCATCGCAGCACTCCACCATCCTCTTGTCTCGCACACCGAACATTGCAGCTTCTCAGGACGACCCATCATTCACACCATGCCTGTGCAGGCCCAGGTACGTAACCAGCAGATTCACCCGCCCACTGCCGTCCTCAGGCTGCTGGGGGCAGCGGTCCACCATCCTCTTAGCGTCACACCCCTTATACTCACACTCGAAAAAGTGCCGGCCAATGGGGTCGCATCTCATCGGGGTGTGCCCGCACGCCCTCCACATGTGCCCGTCCTGTATAGTCACATTGTCAGGACCAGGTCCGTCCACTTGCACAACCGTTAGAGTCACCTGTTCCCCTTCCCCTTCCCCTTCCCCATCGCCTCCCCCCTCATCTTCCTCTTCTGTATCCCCGTCACTCTGGTACCCTCCCTCCTGCTCCTGCTCATGCTCCTTCACTTTCTCTTGCCCTTGCTCTTGACGTTTCTCTTGCTCTTGCACATGCTCTGTCACACCAGCAACATTGGTCGCACCAGCACCAGTGTTGGCAACCTTGGGAGTATCGTCAAAGCGAGTCCTCTTGGCGGTCCCCCAGGCACAGGATGCTGTGTTGGCCTGAGCGTTGACTGGGTTGACTGGGTTGACCTGCTGGGAAGCGTTGAATGGGTTGACTGAATTGACTGGGCGCACAGGAATATCCATCAGCGGCGGGCGGCTGCGTTTGTTGCTTCTCTGCTGGATGATGCTGGTAGTACCCCCTTCGCCCGGCTGTGGTTGCTGCTGCTGCTGCTGCTGCTGGCACTGCTGCTGCTGGTGGTGTAGCTGTTGGGGAGGCTGCTGGTGTTGCTGCTGGTAAGGCTGCTGGCATGGCTGGTACGGTTTCGTGGTCGGCGCAAGTGATTCTGCTGGCATGGCGGCAGAAGCAGCTACTGTACAGTGTGCTACAGTACCACACGTTACTGTAGTATTTGCACTTACTGTAGAGGGGTTTACTGTAGAACACGTTACAGTAGCAGCTGACTGCGCATTGGTGTGTGCAGCAGGGGGCAATTGCGGCGACAACGAAACCCCACCAGGAGTTGCAGGTATAGAAGATTGGAGGGGATATCGAAGAGTAGAGTTTTGACGTGTCTCAAAAGTCATAACCCCACCAGGACTTGCGGAAATTGAAGGAGGATGGGGAGGAGGAGACGACAGCGGACGAGCAGGGGCTGACGTGGCAGCAGGAGCAGCAGTAGCAGCAGCTGACGTGGCAGCCAGAGCAGCTCTAGCAGCAGGTGACGTGGCGGCAGGAGGAGCTGTAGCGGCAGCTGACGTGGCGGCAGCAACAGCGCAGAGCACAGGCGGCGAGAGCGAGGCGAGGAGGGCGGGTAGCTCTGAAGGCTGCACTCGCTGCAGCACTGTGAGAATGGCCGACGCTGTTTCCACTGGTAGAGGGGGGAGGGGTGGGAGGGGGGGAGGAGGTAGGGGTGTGGGGGCGGTAGGAGGGGAAGTTACGGAGGGGAGGAGATGGGGAGAGGTGGAGGTTGGGACGGGCTGGGTAGCAGGGAATGAAGGCACTGCTGCTGCTGCTGCAGTTGCTGCTGCTGCTGCTGCTGCTGGTGCTTTGTGGCCCGGAACCAGGCTCGGGGCCAGGCTCGGAGCCTGGTTCGGGAGCTGGGTGGCAGCAGCAGTAGCAGGAGCAGGTTCGGTAGAGCAGGGAACAGCAGCCACACTGCCTGCCATGCTGCCAGGCTCGGGGAAACCAATGCCATGCTCGGGGACCCCACTGCCAGGAGGGTTACTTCCACGAGGGTTCCTGCCGTTAGCTGTCTCTAAATCGGTATTACCACCCGCGTTAACTGTGTTGCTGAGATTGCGGTTAACGGGACTGTTAAAAACGTTGCTGATGGTGGCGGGGGGAGGCGGGAGGGTGCTGTAACCTGAGCTGGCGCCTTTGTTGACAGCATTGCTGGTGGGGTTGGTAAAAGCGTTGCTGATGCTGTGGGTAGCAGCATTGCCGGTGGGTTTGCTGATAACGTTGCTGATGGTGTAACCTGAGCTGGCGCCTTCCCCGCTGCCACTGGCAGTGACGCTGCAATGCGCTGAGAGGGGGAGCGAAGGGGAGGAGAGTGACTGTGGGGGAGGGAGGGTGAGAGGAGGGGGATGAGGCGTGGAGGCCTGGTTGGAGAGAGGGGAGAGTGGGGAGGGAGCGGGGCGAGTGAGGGGGACGTGAGAGGGGTGAGTGAGGGAGGAAGGAGGAGGATGCGAGAGGGAGGACGGGGAGGCAGCTTGACGTGAAATCGAACCGAGCAGGCGATGGTCAGGGGAATTGACAGTCAGATGCGCTGCTTTCCCTTTCCTTTCCCCCTTTATAGCAGCATCTAGCTGTGCGAATCCCCCCATATCCTCCGTTATAATCACTCTCACTTCCCCCGCATGCCCAGCCGAGGCACGCCTTCCAGTCGCTGCCCCTTTCGGGTGGGTGTGCTCGTCCTTGTACAGAATCTCCATGCTCCCGCCGCCCGGAGCCATCTCGGCGGTTTTTTTCGCCGGGCAGCCCGGAACAGCGCAGCGGAAATATCCCCTGGGGAACGACGATCCTTTGGGCGGCTTCTGCCCGTATTTCCGCCAGGAGTAGCCGTCTGGTGGGAGGTCCATTCCCAATGATGGAGGCGACGTTGCAGCAGGAGATGCAGCAGCGGGAGGGGCACGAGCAGTAGCGGCAGCAGGAGACACTGCAGCAGGGGGGGCATGAGAAGCAGGAGCAGAAGGAGAGGCAGCGGCAGCAGGAGATGCGGCAGCAGGAGCAGACGAAGCATTCAGCGTGGGCGCAGCAGCAGCAGCCATGGCTGCACGAGACGCGGAAGCATCACCACTACCAGCAGCAGCAGCACCACCACCACCACCACCACCACCATCAGCTGCCGGTGCAGGTGCTGGTGCTGGTGCTGCTGCTGGTGCAGGTGCCTCTCTCTGCCCATCCACCACTGCTGCACCGCCATCACCCTCGTCTGCCTTTCTCCTCCCTGCTCCTCCCCCACCTCCCTTTACACCCTGTCCCGCCTCCACCAATGAGGTGGCATCTCGCCCTGGACCCGACAACAATCGCCCCACCCTGCCTTTTTTCTGTGTGCTGGGCAGGGCAGCACCTGCAGGAGCACCTGGGAGTGTACCTGAGGCAGCACCTGGGGCTGCATGTGCAGTACGTTCAGGTGCAGCTTCAGGTGCACCCAACCGTTCACCTGATCCTCCAGGCGAAAGTTCAGGTGCGGCTCCAGGCTTTTTGTCTTCACTTCCATCACTCGCCCCTATTACAGTCACGCTCCCAGTCTCGCCTCCTGTCCCTGCCAGTGCTGTCAATCCGTCACTTCTGTAATCTGTCAGTTGAGTCAGTCCGGCGATTTTCATGCCTGTCTCGCTTGCATTTCCCACCACAGCGCCACCTCCGCCGCTTCCCGCTGCAGCAGCAGCGCCATCTGCGCCGCTTTCCCCAGCAGGGGCGCCACTTGCGCCGTTTCCCCCTGCAGTGCCGCCAGCAGCGCCTCCCCCTGCAGTGGCGCCAGCTCCGCAGTTTCCCCCCACAGGGGCGCCAAATGCGCCGGTTCCCCCAGCAGCAGTGGCGCCTCCGCCGCTTCCTGCTCCCCACACTGCGCCTGGGGCGGCAGCAGGCGACACAGCAAGGCATGTGCTTGTACGGGGGGTGTACAGTAACGGGAGCAGGCTGCAGAACACTTCAAACGTCTGCTCTTTAGACGGCGCCGCAGCGTCAGTTTCGTCTTGGCGAATTTCACTGTTACCACCCGCGCTCGCTTCGCCAACCGTGCCCCGCGCTGCTACTTCCGCCCGCCGCGCTTCCCCCGGCGCCGTTTCTTCCCCGCGCGCGGCTCCCCGCTGGTCCCCCGTCATTGTCTGTCCCTCCGCCTCCATTCGCACCCATTCCTCCGCGGAAGCCGCGCCAGCGGGGAGTTTCGGCGACGCTGCGACACGTTCGCGTAGCTCGCCGACTGTCGCCTGCGGGACGGCGACCCCCTCGTGCGACGGTTCCGACGTTCGCGACGTTCGCGAAGCAGAGGCGGCGAAACGCGGAGTCGGAATGGAAATCTCCGGTAGGGAATCTTCGTCGAAGACAAACGGAAGGGGCGGCAGAACGTGCGGAAGCGACGAGCATCCGCCGCCGGCAGCGCCCCCGCCGCTCACGGCAACGCCTAGAGGGGCCACGGTGGGTGGCGGAAGCCCCGCGGAAGCGGTCGGGGAAAAGGCGGAGGCGCAGACGGAAGCGGAAGCGGAAGCGGAGGCGGGGAGGGATGCGGAAGAGACGAGGGAGGCGGAGGAGGAAGAAAGTAGCGCGGGGACGGTCGAAAATGCGTCACTTGCTAGAGGCGAACTTTCATCGTACACGTGGCAGGGGTCTCGCTGCAATAAAGCCCGAGTCGCGATGTGACGAGAAAGCGACGTGGCCATGCGAGTGGTCCAGCTGGTTACCGCGGCTTCGCCCGTTCCGAGCGGAAGCGGCGCAGCGGAAAGCTGCTGCCCTTCCGCCTCCCGCTCGCGCTGCTGCTGCTGCGCTCCCTGGTCTCCGCCAACCGGGCCTCCGCCAACCTGGCCTCCGCCACAATGCGCCAATTTTTCCGCGCCCCTTTCAAGGAAAAGTTTCCCGCTTTCGTCTTGCCTACGCTTCTGCTGCTGCTCTGGCTGCTGATGCGGCTGGTGCTGCGGCTGCGGCGGCTGCTGCTCCGCTCGTTGCGCTCCTCGCTCCGTGTACCGCGTTCGATCCGTCCGCCAATGCTCCACGCGCCCATCGTTCGCCAGGCGGGGCGCTAAACCAGCGGACTCGCACCGCGGCGCGACATTATCGTCGCAACTACTATCGCGGGGATCCAGGAGTGTCGTCGTGCGTCGCCGCGCTTCAAATCGTTCCGTCTGTCGTCCGTACTCTACCCGCGCTTCGTCCGTAGAAAGGGTCGTCGATGCCACGTCAGCCCTAGACGCCAAGGTCGTTGAGCTAGGATTCCGTTGTTGTGTGTATTCTTCGATCCGTTGCAGCCGCGGCAGTCCTTTTTGCTGCAGCTGCCGCTCACTCCTTTGCTCCTGCTGCTGGAGCGGCTCCGCTCCTTCTTTCTCCTCGAGACATGTCTGTTTCGGCTCAGCGTCTCGCCGCGTACGGCGGCAACACGACTCAACGAAGCTCGGGTCATGGCGTGCTTGTTGGAGTTGGGGTTGCGACGAAAACGCGTGGGTTGGATTTTGGTCGGTGGGAACCGCGTGTTCACTCGATTGTTGCAGCCGACGGCGGGGTGGAGAAGAGGACGAGGGTGTGGGAAAATAGTGGTCTTTTCTGCTGCTTGCCTTGCGGGAGCTGGTTGCGTTCAGTGGGTGGTTGGCCGACATTTTCACATTTCTCCGCGGTGAAAATGCGAGGGAAGAGGCTCAAAATGGAGAGGCGCGCTGGTGCAGTGTGTGTATTTGAGAAAGATATATCGTTCGAAACAGAATTGAGTTGGGAGAAAGAAAGGGCGAAATTTGTGATTGTGCAATGTTGGGGGAATTTACAGCTGGCTGGAGCAGTCAAGTGTGCTTGTGTGTGAGTCGAGGGGTTGACGGACGGTGCCCTGATTTCAGATCTGGAGTAAAAGTAGGTCAGCTCACAGAAGACCGCGACGCGTCGCGGTGGTTGGAGAGGATGTGACCGCGATGCGACACGGTCACAGGCGGGTCCACGATTTGCAACCAGGTTCCGTAAGTCTGCGGCGAGAGTAATTGACTGCGGTCAACGACAAATTTGGCGTTAGATTGGGGTCAGCACCTGCATGTATATAACCATTCGATATAAGACACGTGGAAAGACCTAATTAGGTGAAGGTGATGATGGATCTGAGGGAAGTAGGTGTGATTTATGTGTCTTTTAGCCCACGTCCTCTTTGTCGTTTCTCTGAGCCAATGAATCACGTGCATTTTGGGTAATGTTGCGTACAGTCCGAATTTATCCAAGCACCGCTTTGCACAAAAACTTTCTTGATAGGTTTTGTCGAGTGAAATGCCTAAAGATATGAAAATGACGAACATACTGCCCAAAACATTATGTGGTACTAAACTTCAGTGAAAACCTTTCTTCCATCCCTTTTTGTCCTACGCCTCTTCCCGCATGCAGACACACAAGTCAGCGAAAACGACAACCATTTTCAATTGTGGGCCATGCGCCCCCCACCACGACAAACTGGCAGTTATCAACGAATTTCAAACACCCCGCCGCCAAACCAACTCGCTACACTAAGAAGCAACCCGCTTCACGCTGATGCGTTTGAGCGTCACTATTTCACCCTAGAGGAATGAAAGCACCCGCCTTGCTAGCACTACAATGCTTCTCAATTTATTCCCATCAACCTACCACCACTACACATCCATAACCCATCAGTAGTATTATCCGATCAGTCGCTGCCTGCTCACGGATGTAACCACTTGAGATTTGAACGCAGTGGCCGAGAACTGCAGTGCCGTGTCTCGAATCATGAAGCCAAAATAAGCAAGACCCAAAATGCCAGCCACGACGGCAGTGACAAGGTACCACCACTGCAAGGGCAATGGAGAGATAAAGAGTGAATATTCCAAAATCAAATCTAAAAATAGACACTAACTCACCCACTCACTCACTCAAACACACACTAACTCACCCACCCACTCACATTTACTCCTTCCCATCCCCCACTAACTCTCACCCCCATCCCACTACTCACATCCTGGTTGCCGCCGTAGAGCTGCCCGTACACGTCAATCCCGAGGAAAACATTGGCGCATCCCATGGCAATGGCCCCGATGCCCATCGCCCAGTGGAACGTGAGCCACGCGGGGCGGTTGGACGTGCCCTTGTCGGGGCGGAAGAAGCCTAAGAAGGGCTGCACCAAGGTGAGGGCGAGGGCTACCACTCCCAGCTTGCCGTGCGTCCACTCCAGACCCTGGGAACCCGAGACCACAAACACCATGATGGCGGCGATCAGCACCAGCAGCACCGCCAAGAGTTGAATGTACCTGGGAAGTGGGGGAAGGGGGGAGGGGGAGGCAGGTGGAGGAAGGGGGAATGTGAGGCAGGTGGTTGGACGTGCCCTTGTCGGGGCGGAAGAAGCCCAGGAAGGGCTGCACGAAGGTGAGAGCCAAAGCCACCACTCCCAGCTTGCCGTGCGTCCACTCCAAGCCCTGGGAACCTGATACCACAAACACCATGATGGCCGCTACGAGTACCAGCAGCACTGCCAGGAGTTGAATGTACCTGGAGTGGGGAAGTGGGGAGGGAAAGGCAGGGGGAGGCAGGGCAAACGTCAGCCACGCGGGGCGGTTAGACGTGCGCTTGTCGGGACGGAAGAAGCCCAGGAAGGGCTGCACCAAGGTGAGGGCGAGAGCCACAAACACCATGATGGCTGCTACGAGCACAAGGAGAACGGCAACGATTTGAATGTACCTGGTGGGGGAGGGGATTCCGGGGGAAGGGAGGAGAGGAGGGAGTGGGGAGACTTTTGAGCCGACTCAAAAACAGCAACGATTTGAATGTACCTGAGAAAGTATGGGATGGTGGGGGAAGGGGGGGGAGGGAGTGGGGAGTGGAGAAGGGAGGGGGAAGGAGGGGTAGCGCAGTTGAACGTGAAGGTGGAAGGTGTAGGGTGGCAGGAGTGAAGAGGAAACAGATGACGCAGGGACCAGTGTGAAGGATCAGTTTTTGACGTCTCAATACAGCTGACTCATTAACAGCTGACTCACTTGTGGCAGAGGAACCAGAGGCCTCTGTTGGCGCGCTTTTCCCTGTCTTCATCATCCGAGGGCAGGGTGGGGCGGTCGTAGAGGAAGAGACGAGCGAGCAGCACACCGAGAGGCATGAGGAGCGCGTAGGCGAGTGCGAGCATGATGCCATGGGCCAGCAGCACTGACTTCTTGCTGCTGCTGTTGTTGTCGGTGGTGCTGACCGGGGCTGCTGTGGTGTTCACGAAATTGACCGAGGCAGAACCACTGGGAGGGGACGGTGGGGGAGGGGGGAGCACAGGAGATGGTTCAGAGGCATGAGCAGCACATAGGCGAGTGCGACCATGATGCGAGCATTGCTTTATTATTGCTGCTGGTGTTGGTGGTGGTTACTGGAGCTGAGGTGCCATTGATAAATGCAACAGAGACATGGGCATGCGACACGACAGGTTGAGGCACACCAAGGCGTGACGCACCAGTTGGGCCCGTGGAAGCTGGTCGGAGTAGGACCAGATGACAGCACGACCACTGCTCTAATGCGCGCCACATGGTTTGGCAGTGACAAGCCATGGCGTGGCAAGGCGCAACGCACCAGTTGGGGCCGTGGAAGCTGAGGGACGGCTGATCGGAGTAGGACCAGATGACAGTGGTGCTGCCCTCCACGTTGATTGGCGCCGTGCCGTCCGTTGTGGAGCGCTCAAACCTGCCAGAGAGAGAGGAGCAGTGAGATAGGGGGTAAGAGGCAGAGAGAGTAAGATCCAAGGACCAGATGAGATGACGGAGAGGCAGCGAGCGTGAGATAGAAGGCCTAGACGAGATGACTGGTTCTGCCTGACGTATCTAAAAGCACTGAGATAGAAGGCCTAGAAGTCACTCCAAGGCACCACCCCGTCCTCCTCACCCACCAATGTAAGACGGTCCGCTGGACAACCCGCACTACATTGGTTGTGGGCCCGTTGTGAGTACCCTCTAATGTAAAACGCGCCCACCAGACGCATCGCTATTCCCAACCACAACCCGCACTCACCTCATCATGGTTCTTCCGTTGCTTTTCTCCACTGAAGTGTTGGTCAGCGTGAAGTCACTCCAAGGCACCACCGCATCCTCCTCGTACCCACCAATGTAAAACGCACCCATCGCCACCCTGTTGGCCACAGCACCGCACAGGCCAGACCTTACCAGGCACTCAATCATCAACCATCAACACCCAGCACTCACCTCATGATGGTTCTTCCATTCTTTCTCTCCACGGCGGTGTTGGCCAGCTTGAAATCGCTCGAAGGCACCACCGCGTCCTCCTCGTACCCGCCAATGTAAAACGCGCCCACCGCTGCTCCGTTGGCAATGGCACCGAACGGCAGGTTTCCAATGGCTGCATCGGATGGGGCCATGCGTCCCCCCCGCGACCAGCCCAGGGAGAGGAAGCCTGTGGTTGCTGCCTCCGCTGCTATGGCGACTGATGAGGAAGAAAGCTTCTTCCAATGCAGGATGAAGCTGCATGGATGGGCGGAGGTGGGAGAGGTGGGGGAGGGGAAAGAGCGAAGTCGGGGAAGGGAAGGGGATAGAAGAGGGGTGAGTGAGAGCATGAGCAGGTTGCCAATGGATGCATCAGATGGGGCCATACGTCCCCCCCCCCGACCAGCCGAGAGAAAGGAAGCCGGTGGTGGCTGCCTCTGCTGCTATGGCGACAGCAGTCTTGCTGAGCGCCTTCCAATGCAGGATGAAACTGCGTGGGTGGGGGGTAGGGGGTAAGGGATTATGGTGTGGGGGTTGGGAGGGGAGAAGCCAGCCGGTGGTTGCTGCCTCCGCTGCTATGGCTACAGTGGTCTTGCTGAGCGCCTTCCAATGCAGGATGAAACTGCATGGGAGGTGGTGGGGCGGAGGCAGGGAGGTTGGGGAGGTGAAAGATAGAAGCAGGGGAAGTGGAAGGGGTGGGTGGGAGCAAGCAGGGGTTTTCTAATGGCTGCATCGGGGGATGCCATGCGTCCAAAGCACAACCAGGCCACTCACTTGTCGCCACTGAGCTTCATGGAGCAGGTGTAATTCGCCAGGGAGGAAGAGGAGCATCCCAGCATTGCCGCTGCTGATGGTGTTGCTGGTGCTACCATGTTACCATACACACGTTACTAACTTGTGTTACCACAGTGAATTCACTCACTTGTCACCGCTGAGCTTCATGGAGCAGGTGTAATTCGCCAGGGAGGAAGGCGAGCATCCCAGCATTGCCGCTTCCGCAGCTGCCACTGCTGCTGCTGTTGCTGTTGCCGGTTTCGCTGGTTTTCCTGGCTTTGCTGCTGCCGGCGCTGGAGCTGACGGTGGTGCCACTGCTGGCTTTGACGGTTTTGACGGCTCTGCTACCGCTGGTTTTGACGGCTCTGCTGCTACTGGTGGTGCTGCGGATGATGCTGGGGCGTCCAGAGCAGGAGGGAGAGGGGCGGAGCCATGGGTGTTGGCCGGTCCGCAGTTGAGATTGACCAGAGCAGAACCCCTGAAAGGGGAAGAGAGGGGGGGACAGGAAGGGAAGCGGTTAGTGCTGGTGCTGACGGTGCTGCGGACGATGCTTGTGCGTCCAGAGCAGGAGGCAGAGGGGGCGGAGCCGTGGGTGTTGCCAGGTCCGCAGTTGAGATTGACCAAGGCAGAGCCCCTGAAAGGGAGGAATAGAGAGGGCGGTGAGAAGAGAGGGGTGGGAAAGGGAAAGCCCAGAAAGAGACCGAGCTGGTTTTTTAGAATTCTCAAAAACCGCCTCATCAGCCAAGAAAGCCCAGATGATGCAGTTACCACTCAACACCACATCCAACTTGAAACGTACTCGTTACAGGTGTCTCGTTACAACACGTACCTGTTAAGAGGCCCGTGGCCGGCAAGAGTCTGTGTTTGATCAGCAGAGAAGGCCCAGATGATGCGGTTACCACCCGACAGCGTTACAGGCGCAAGCCCATCAATAGTGGTCCGTGCAAACCGGAGAATCGTGCTCCCATTGGCCGCTGGCGCCTCGGCCACTCCAATGCCGCCACCTGCCGGCGCGCCATTGGCCGATGGTGCGAGTGTGACTATACTGGGGGCGCCGATGGCGAAGGCGGATGTGGCTGAGATTGTAGCGAGGGAGCGGCCTGTGATGGTGTAAGCACTAATGGCACCTCCTGTGGTGGGGGAACAGGGGGTAGGGGATGTGGAGAAACAGGGAAACAGGGAATGTGGGGGGAGAGGGAATGGCCTGTGGGAACTAATAGACATGGCATGCAAGGGATTGGGGGGAGAGGGCATGGCATGGTTTAATATCAAAACATTCGCCTGCTACCTGCTCTGCCCTCCCCTTTTCTCGCATCTGCCATGTTGCCGATAATGGTGTCAGAAGGGAACATCTTGCCCTTCTCACTCCACCCCACTCCACCCCACCTCACCCCATTCCACCCACTCCAACCCACTCTCACCTGCAGTGTTCCCGATAATGGCATCGGAGGGGAACATTTTGCCCTTCTCGCTCCACCCCACGGCCAGCCACCCCTTCTCCGCGCCACTCCCTGGCCTGGCCTCCAGGGCAAAACGCACGAACGTGGGGGACGCAACCACCCAATGCAGCGCGAGTCTGGAAGGGGGGAAGAGGAGTAAGGGGGATGGGAGATGGGGGAGGGGAAGGGGGAATGAGAGAGCTGCTCCACGCCACTCCCCGGCCTGGCCTCCAGGGCAAAACGCACAAACGTAGGGGATGCCACCGCCCAATGCAGCGCCAGCCTGGAGGAGGGTAGAGTAAGGGAGATGAGAAGAGGTGATGCGGGGGGTGAGAGGAGAGGAGAAAAGAACGGTCCATGATTGAAAAAAGGGAGTTCCATGGTAGAACAGGGTGGAGGAGAGAGGGGAGAGTAGAGAAGAGGAGGGGAGAGGAGGGGAGAGTAGAGGACGGGAGAGAAGGGGAGTAGAGGATGGAGAGGAGGAGGGGAGAATAGGTGCCCATTGTGCACAACTACACTCGTTATTCCGTTGTAATCCCCTTCGCTACACTCACTTGTTCCGCACCAAAGGTGCCACGAATGAGAATCCAGGAAGGGTAGAGGCTTGGCAGGCCGAACCTCCTGCCGAACCTGCTGGGGCGGGGACCACTGGAGGCTTGGTAACTGGCTTGGTCACAGGAGGCTTGGTAACAGGCTTGGTTACAGGAGGTTTGGTGACTGGCTTGGCAACAGGAGGTTTGGTAACAGGCTTGGTAACTGGTGGCTTGGTGATGTTAGTTTTGGGGAGGGGAGGTTTGGCAATCGGAGGCTTGATAACAGGCTTGGCAACAGGTGGCTTGATAATCGGCTTGGTAACCGGTTTGGTAACAGGCTTAGTAACAGGTTTGGTAACAGGCTTGGCAACGGGAGGCTTGATAATGGGCTTGGTGACTGGCTTGGGAACTGGCTTGGTAAGAGGAGGCACGAGAGGGTCGGCCGGAGCATCAGCTGAGGGCGGGGGAACAACGTCTGCATGGCACAACGAAAGGGGTTGGGGGGAAAGGGGAGAGGAAGATGGGAGAATGGGTGAGGGCGCATGAGAGAGGAAGTGAGTGGAGTGAGAAGAAGAGCGCATGACAGAGAGCATGGCAACAGCCCATTACACCACCTCCAGCACATACCAGCACCGCACAAGAGAGGTCCATGATAGCTGTGCCCTTGTTTGGCCTGTGGTAACCCATCGCATGCGAGGCACATCAACACCTGCTACATAGCATTACACACGTGCCACCAACAACGGCTCAACACACGTACCACTGCCACACGAGAGGTCCATGATAGCCGTGCCCTTGTTGGGACCGTGGTAGCCCAGCGCGTGGGCGGAAAAGGCCAGCCACATATCATTCACCCCACCACCACACGTGCTCATGTGGGAGTGCTCAACACACGTACCACTGCCGCACGATAGGTCCATGATAGCGGTGCCCTTGTTGGGACCGTGGTAGCCCAGCTTGTGGGCGCCGTCATTGGAGAAGGCCCAGATGAGCTTGTTCTTGCCGCTCAGGTTCAGAGGCACCGTGCCGTCCGTAGCGTTGCGAGTGAATCTAGGTGAAGCAGGGGCAAGAGAAAGAGAGAGGGGGATAGATTGGTGCGAGCCGTCATTGGAGAAGGCCCAGATGAGCTTGTTCTTGCCCGTCAGATTCAGAGGCACCGTGCCGTCCGTAGCGTTGCGGGTGAACCTGGCAAGGAAAGCGGGTGGAGGGAGAGCGGACGGAAAGAGAGCCGTCACTTAAGAAGGCCCAGATGAGCTTGTTCTTGCCCGTCAGATTCAGCGGCACCGTGCCGTCCGTAGCATTGCGGGTGAACCTGCATGTGAGACGGGGGGAAGAGCCTCAGAGGTTTCACTCAGCGCCTTGTTCTGCCACCATCCGCTCAACAGGTGTTGTGTGTGCTCATAAACATCACTCATACCCACCTTATCACAACCACTCACTCGAACAGCATGCTGCCCTCGGCGGTTTGACTCAGCGCCTTGTTCTGCCCCAGCTTCATCACGTAACTCGCCACCACAGCATCCGCGGAGTGCCCCGTGAGCGCGTATCCGCGCACCATCCCCCCCACCAGGTTCCCCACGACCGCGTCCGCGTGCGCCATTCCGCCCGTCGCGGACCACCCCACTGCGAACCACCCCGCGCTTGCCGGTCCCGGCCACGCCTCGACAGCCATCTGCACCCTTCCGGACGCCTTGGGCGGGTTCCAGTGCAGGAGGAGGCTGGGGAGAAGGGGGGGAATAGGAATGAGCGCGGACCACCCCACGGCGAACCACCCCGCGCTAGCCGGCCCCGGCCACGCCTCCACCGCCATTTGCACGTTTCCGGACGGCTTAGGCGGGTTCCAGTGCAAAAGAAGGCTGGGGGGAGGGGGGGCGTGGGAAAAGACGGAAGAAGTGCGGAGAGGGGAGTGAGTGGTTTCGCCCCCACAGCCATTTGCACGTTTCCGGACGCCTTGGGGGGGTTCCAGTGCAGGAGGAGGCTGGGGAAAGAGCGGGCGGAAGGACGGGGGGAAGGTGGGGAGGAAGGGGTGGAGAGTGAATGGCCACGCCTCCACCGCCATCCGCCCGTTTCCGGACGGCTTGGGGGGTTTTCCAGTGCAGGAGGAGGCTGGGGGAGGGAGGAAAGGGGGGCGTGGCGGGAAGAGGGAAGAAGCGCGCAGAGGGGAATGAGTGGTTTCGCCTTCACAGCCATCCGCATTTTTCCGGATAGCTTGGGCGGGTTCCAGTGCAGGAGGAGGCTGGGGGGAGAGCGGGCGGAAGGAGGGAGGAAGGTGGGGAGGAAGGGGAGAAAGAGGGGAACGAGGGGGAAGGAAAGGGGGAGAGTGAGTGGCCGCGCCTCCACATCCTTCGGGGACTCGCGACAACCTTGGGAGTACCGTCCATTCCTTCGGTTCCCTTCCCCCCGCGTCCTATCTTACCCCCCCGTCCCCTCTTCCCCCCCGTTCCACTCACTAGTGGGCTTTCAGTTTGACGAAGAACTTGTAACCCGCCTTCGGCGACTCGCGACAACCTTGGGGTTTGCGGCCCTCAGTAGCACCGCCCCCGGCAGCACCGCCCCCGGGAGTGCCGACCGCGGGAGTGCCGCCGACCGCGGGAGCACCGCCCCCGGGAGTGCCGACCGTGGGAGTGCCGACAGTGGGAGTGCCGACCCCGGGTGTGCCGACCCCAGGAGTGCCGACCCCGGGTGTGCCGCCCACGGGAGCACCGCCCACGGGAGTGCCGACCGCGGGAGTGCCGACCCCGGGTGTGCCGCCCACGGTATTCCCGACCCCGGGAGTGCCGACCCCGGGAGTGCCGACCCCGGGAGTGCCGACCGCGGGAGTGCCGACCGCGGGAGTAGTGGGTTTAGGAGTGCCGGCCGCAGGCAACCCCCCCGTAGACGACTCTTTCTTGACACTTCCGTCCATGCCCGCGCCGGGGGACAGCTTGGGCGGAAGCGGAGCCACGGGGGTGACTGGGGAGGCCTCGGGGGGGATTGGGGCGGCTTCGGGGGTTGGCGGGGGCACAGCTCCGCCCGCCGGGTCTTCCGCCTCCGCGCGCCTGCAGGACATGTCCGCTGTTGCCGTTCCGCTGAGTAGGGGGAGAGGGAAGGGGGAAGGGTGAAGGGGGATGGTGGGAGGTGGGGTAGGAAATGGGAGAAGGGGGAAGGGGAAGATTAGACGGGTTGGCGCAGGAAGCACGGGGAGATTAGTCTGGCGCAAGTAGGGAGAGCAGGCAGAGCGGGGCCAAGTAAGGTAGGTGGAATGCGAACTCGGTCGTCCCATCCGCAGCATACGCCCAGATCAGCGTGTTGGGGCCATCCATGTTCACCGGAGTTGACTTTTAGTCAACTCAAGTCAAAAGTCAACTCGGTACAATGTCACACGACTTACACGTTCTCCCCGTGGAATGCAAACTCGGTCGTCCCATCCGCGGAGTACGCCCAGATGAGCGTGTTGGGGCCGTCCATGTTCACCGGACACAGCCCGTCGCTCCCGCGCCGCGCAAACCTGCGCGCAAGGGGAATCGGGAGGGTGCGCGACGGCGATGAGGGAAGAAACGAAGGCTTGTGCTTGCTTTTTAACTCAAGATGCTTGCACGCGTTCACCTAAATTACTCCTTGAGCCCTCATGTTGAGCCGTCAACTTAATTGAGCCTTGCTGTGGAACCAGTCCCGTCATTTTTTGCTAACTCACTTGATGATCTTCGTGCCGTCCTGCAGAGTGACCATCCCCCAATTCGTGCCCAGCGCGATGGACGCGTTCGGCACCACGAGAGCCGCGTCCTCCCCGCGCATGCTGTACATCTGCGCGTTTCCGTGGGGTAAATTACCCACAATCGCGTCCGCGGGGAACATCTCCCCGTCGCGCGACCATCCCACGGAGAACCACCCCTTCGCGACGCCCCAGCCAGCGCGCGCCTCGAGAGCCATCATCGATATTCCCCCCGGGCCCGGCTGTTTCCAGTGGAACAGGAACCTGCGGTGAGGGGATGGGGGAGGGAGAAGTTGGGGGAGGGGGAAAGCGTTGTCCATCAGACTATCCCACGGCGACGCCTCAGCCGGCTCGCGCCTCCAGAGCCATCATGCCAGTGGAACAGGAACCTGCGGGAAGGGGGGAAGCGGGGGAGTGGGGGTGGTGGACAGGTGGGGGGGTGCGGGAAGCGGAAAAGTTGGGGATGGAAGGGGGGAGAAGCAGAGAGGATGGGGGAAACGGATAGGAGGGGGTGGAAGCGCAAGTGTGGAGAACTTGCGGTGGAATGTAACTCCTCGCGCGCCGTGAAGCAATCAATGTCCAACCGAGTCATTCAAACGAGGGGGAGGTTCGCACAGCTGTCACCACCTCATATAAGACCTTCGCTCACCCCCTATTTTTCAACGTCGTCTGAAAGTCGTAACCCTTGAGCGACGACGGTTCGCAGACGGGGGTCTGTGCGACGATTCGGGGGAGAGAGGCTGCGAGGCCGAGGGAGACGAAGACGACGATGAGGAGGGCGGAGCGGGTGGGGAGTAGAGCGGACGCGCCGCGTTGGCGCGCCATGAATATCATTGTGTTCATTAAAGGTGCGCACTACTAGTTAGGATATGAGAAGACGTAATGCTAGTCTCCTGCGAGTCAGTCGGTCGATACGAAGCACAAGCTGGACGAATGAGGGGGCTATTCGAGACAGGAGGGCATTTAAGACTTATCGTTCCGACGGTGCTTGCTTTCTCCTGCTGCTTCGAGTTGCAGTGTGGGGCGGCTGGTTCGATTCGCTCTCACTGGAGCTTTTCGTTCTCGACTCTAGTCGCTACTTCGCTTCTACCCTCTCACCAGCTCCTCTCACGTGCGTCACCGTATTTCGAATCGTGGCTGATAAGCCGAGAACTTCTGAGCCAATGGATGTCGAGAGCAAGCCCCTCTATAAGGGGCCAAGTGGCGACGGTGTGGGCAGCCGCGCCGCGTACGTGTTTGCTTGTTACATTCTGTTATTGGTGGTGATTCTAGTAGGATATGTGGGCAGAGAAGGAAAGCACCGGGACCAGGCGCCGTGAACTCAGGAGAGAGCATGAGCGTGGGTTTGAATTGATAGCGCTTCGGGTGGAGAGAAGGGAAAGGAAGGGAAAATCCTGCAGCACGCAGGCAAATTTCTGTGCATTGCAGGATGCGATTCGTGTGTGACTGGTAGTTGCGATGCGCTTCAATGTTCCTACCAAACCGAAAAGGATGGAGCGACTCGTGGAGCACCGCTTTCGGTTTTCCCGAGTCCCAAACCAAAGCTCCTGCTTCGCCTTCATTGACGAAATACCCTGACGACGGTATCCTGGATTTCGTAAAAATCACAAACTAAGCGATAACGAGCGAAAATGGATTTACGAACGGAGCGAAGAGCATGCAAGCATTGGAAGCCAGCGCCTCAAACCGTTTTTCGCACCCCCCAATGCTCGGTAGTTTCTCGATATACTTCTGCGTGATCTTCCTCGTATGAACCTTGCTATATTCCTTGGAACTCTAAACTCCCAGCTAAATAACACACTATTTTATTATTCCTTTTGAGCACTTCCCACTTTGTCAGCTGACTCACAGATCTACATCTCGTTAAGAACAGATCCACTTGTGAACCATACTCGCAGATCAAGATATATTGCAACTATACAGCTGGAAAACAAGCCCATGCACTAGTCTTGCGTAATAGTATATTAAACATCAAAATCTCCTTGTTAGGGTAACAAGGCCGGGTTAGGCTTCCATGCTCTGCTTCAACTTAACCATGTCATGCGCCGTGTTAGCAATAAGCCACATGTCTTCAGTATGGGCACTTCGCACCGTATCACGAACACCTTTCACCCGAAAGGAGATCGCTTAGGTTGGACCATCTGCCCGTTACTGGTACCACAATTGTGACAAATACCCCAGTAAAACTCCCAAAGCTTCTTCCAAATCTGCCACCGACGCCATCTCCTCGCCACCCTGTGTTCCTCGTCAGCGTTTCCGCATCCACACGACTGGCAACCGCATCCTCCCTCCTCGTGATGATCATCATCGTCGTTGTCGTCGTCTTCGCCACCATTACAGTTCATGCTGCAAGGCCTGGGCGTTCTGCTCTGCGGCGCTCGGATGATCTGCGGGGGGTAGTTGCACGAGTAGTCCACAATGGCAATGCCCCTGGGCGGAAGAGAGAGCAGGGCGGGAGAAGAGGGTGGGAAAAGAGGGCAGGGTGGGAAACGAGGACAGGTGGTTTGGGCAATCTTTGCAGCGCGCTCGGATGATCTGCGGTGGTGGCACGAGTAGTCCACAATCACAATGCCCTGGTGGGACAAGAGCGGGGTGAGAAAAGAGACCAGGTGCTTTGGGCAACTTATGAGTCGACTCAAAAGCGATACGAGGTGAGTAGTGGCATGAGTGGTCAAAAATGGCAAAGTCCCTGGTGGGATAAGAGAGCTGGTGGTTTGGGGGGGACATCAGAGCAAGGTCATGCCAACCACAGGGCAGCAGCAAGGGCACAGACAAGAGAAAGGGCAATTGCTACAGAACAAAGAGAGAGGGTATAAGGGAGATTGGTAAGAGGGAGTTGGGAAATAATCAGACAGTGCGGCAGCACAGTTTGCATGAGGTTGCAGGAGGTTGCATGAGTGCGTCTGAGCGGCTGTGTCCTTACACACACCATGGTCCATCGCGTGCCCATGCCCGCGACACAATGAATGCTCACTCACATGGCAGCGCCGTGGTAGGACAGTGTGGTCATTGCATTGCGCGAGTGGGCCGACGCATTCAAAATAGTAAACACCACCATGGTGCAAACAAGTATGGCACACGTGCACTCACATGGCGGCGCCGTGGTATGAGAGCGTGGTCATGGCATTGCGCGAGTGCGCCCATATCACCCAGCTCTTCCCCTCTATGTGGAATATTGACTGTGCCCCCGTGCCATTCTCCCGAGAAAACCTGCGAACAGGGGGTGGTTGGGGGAGGGGAGAGGCTCGTTAGTGATGAGAGATTTTGGAGTGGACTCAAGAGTGCGCCCATATGAACCAGCTCCTTCCCTCTGGAATATTGACTGTGCCCCCGTGCTATTCTCCCGAGAAAACCTGCGCGCGTGGGGAGTGACGAGGGGGAAGAAAAGGGTTTCGTAGATTAGAGACGGAGGGAGGTAGGGAGAGAGAAGGGAAAGGGGGAGAGAGAGAGTATGAGAGAGGGAGAGAGAGTGGGAGAGAGAGAGAGAGAGAGAGAGAGAAGAGAGAGAGAGAGAGAGAGAGAGAGAGAGAGAGGGAGAGAGAGAGAGAGAGAGAGAGAGAGAGAGGAGGGGGGGGTGGGGGAAGAGGACTGGGGATGACGCAAAAAGTGCAGAGACGGGATTCCAGCGGCATCACGCACTTAGTAACAGTGGAGCAATCCGGCGCCACCTCAACAGCCAAGTTGACTTTTCAGCCAACGCAAAAGTCAACTCCAGCGGCATCACTCACTTGATGCCAGTCGAGCAATCCGGCACCGAATCAACAGTCTTGTCGAATCCGAGCGAAAAGTTCATGGTCGGGAACACCTGCGTTCGCCTCAACAGCCACGTTGACTTTTAGTCAACGGAAAGTCAACTCCAGCAGTATCACTCACTTGACGATAGTGGAGCAATCTGGGGCCGCCTCAACAGTCTTGTCAAACCCGAGCGAAAAGTTCATGGTAGGAAACACCTGCGTTCGCCTGTAACCAGTCATTTCGTACGCAGCTACGCCCGGCGTGTTACCAATCACGGCATCCGCAGGAGCCATCTGGCCGTGATCGGACCAGCCTATGCCGAGCCAGCCCGACCCCGCGTAGCTGTCTTGCGTGGCTTCGAGCGCCATGTGCACGGTGCAGCCCTCCACGGTCCAATGCAGAATGATCCTGAAATGACAACATCAAGACAGGGGGAAGTCAGACTTTTGAGACTTTTGAGAGAGTGACTCAAGGATTCGTTGAGTGGCTTCGAGCGCCATGTGCACTGTGCAGCCCTCCACCGTCCAATGCAGAATGATCCTGAGATAAAATATCACATAACACACAAGGGGGCGGAGCTTTGAGGGTTGTTGGACCAGCCTACGCCGAGCCAGCCCGACCCCGCGTAGCTGTCTCGAGCGCCATGTGCGCCGTGCAGCCCTCGACGGTCCAATGCAGAATGATCCTGACACTCATGACACCACCGGTACACGACACACACGCACGCAAGGGGGGCGAGAGGCAGACAGACGTTTGAGAGTGTTGCAACGACTTCGAGCGCCATGTGCACGGTGCAGCCGTCCACGGTCCAATGCAGATTGCGGAGAAGCGAGGCATTTAGGACCACATATGCGAAGTACGTAGGACCAGAGTGAAGACGTACTTAGAGTCGTAAAGCTGCGCAGAGTAATTATAACCCGGGAGAGTCGACGGCGGGCACGCGTTCCCCATCACCACCTTTTTGCATTCGCACTCCTCCTCCTCCTCGTCGTCCTCCCCCTCATCCTCCCCCTCCCCCTCCCCCTCGTGCTGTACTTCCGAGGACGACGGCGGAGGATAACCGGGCGCAGCGGAGCTCGGCTTGCGCGGAGATCCTTCCCCCTGCCCACCGTCGCCGTAGTCGCCGCCGCTGCTGCCGTACTCGGGGTTTGTCTCTGGCGGTGGAGGTTCGGAAGGTGCGGAAGGTTCGGAAGGTTCGGAGGGTGAAGGCTCTTTGTTTGTTGCAGGCGGATCATCGGTCGTAGCAGGAGGGTCATCGGTTGTACCTCCAGAGTCACCGTTCGGGCTGCGATTGGCGGGTGAATCATCCACAAATGGCTCTTTTTGCGTGGGTAGCCCGTCGTTACCGCCTCCATCGCCGCCGCCGTCGCCGCCGCCATCGCCGACGCCATCGCCGCCTGAGCCTCCTTGCCCACTAGGCACTTCTTGGGTATCCGACGGGCCTTGACCATCGGTTGCGTTGTTATTGCCACCATCGTTCGCGCCGCTTTTTCCACCGTTATCTCCTTCGGACGTGCTTGGATCGCTGAAACTCCAGTCCCACATGCCGTCGTCTCTGCTCCTGCTGCCACTGCCAGTCCCACTGCCAGTCCCCGCTCCTTCTTCCGTTGTGCTTCCGCCACTTTCACCGCTGCCTCTCACGTCATTAGTAGTCGAGGGCTTGCTGGGAGTGTCAAGCTGCTCGTTATTTGCAAGCCCGTTCACGGCGGGGTCGACTATATCGAGAGAAACGTCTTCCGACGTTGCGCTTTGAGCATACGCCATACCCGCGGGCGTGATGTGACTGGCTATCGTAGCGACGGGGAAGGATGTTACCAGTGCGACGGAGCAGAGCACAATAAGGTATTGCCATGCTCTGAAATTCTTTCGTCGCGAAACCGACATAGATCCTTGAAATGGTTTCGCCATCGGAAACTAGTTCTGAGTCCTTGTGGCCCTCTTACCCCTCTTTCCCCTCTTACTCCTCTTACCCTGTATGCTGCATGCTTGACGATAACAAAGCTACAAGATTTTACTTATCCCTACCAGCTAGCAGCTGCGTAGCAGCTCTATCCTATGTGCCTTGCACCAAGGCTGTCCGAGTCGTAATATTCCTGGACGAAGTCTCACTGCCTAACTGAACGCGCTGAACGGCTTGCATTCTGCATCTGAATGGAACACTACCACACGCGTCGTTTGCTCTGCTCAAACAAGCTTGCCCTAGCAGCGCATTTTCCGACAGGTGGTGCGTTCCAGGGCGGTTACTTATCACCGACCAGAAGCAGAGGTGGGCACTAGAGCAGCTGACGGCAGCACAAGCAAGAGAGGAAGGAATCGTGCAGCCGTCACTTCTCGTGTTGGAGGAGCCGTATTTGTGCACTCAATTTGCACCTTCCTATGTTTTTTTTTCACTTCCCCTTGTGAAATGCCAGCCAAGGGCTGCATTTTGGATGGGTTGTTGGAGGGGGCATACACAACATTGAAATGTCGCGACTCGGTATGAGAATGCCTGACCGAAGCGCGGTGATCTCGCCACATCTGGGCGTGGTTGAGTTGCCGAAGCGCATGTCACGTTCGCTGTGGTGGGGAAGCTTTGTTTGGACCTCCCTATTCGCTCAATGCCACGTGGAACCACAATGACGGAAAGCGACTACAACGACGAGTCTGTCGGTGTGCACAACGTGGGTAGGTTGGCGAGAGCTATACGCGTTAACCGATAAGAAAACTTCCGGAAAGGCAACTGCGAAGTAAAAAGTAAGCAGCCATAAAATTAAAAAAAAAAAAAAACCTTGTCTTTTCCACATTCAAAATTGCATGCGGAACATTCTTAAATAGTGATCTTTCAAATTTTCATGCACCCTACTTGAACGAGTAAGTTATAAACTCTGCGTTACACCCGACGATGATAAATTTCACCACTGTATCTCGCCATTAGCAGGCACGTAGCATGCTGCTTGACCCGAACTCAAACAATGCATGGAACTGCCTTTGCTGCGCTCCATATTCTATAATCCCCCCTGCAAGTGTCCTATGACTCTTTGAGTGAACCTTGCCTCGGCTGTAGGACTAAACCAGGTGCTGTCTGAACCCATAAGCGTTGCAGACAACCACTGATCAGAGTGCACTGGTGCTGTATAAACCATTGAGTGAGATGCTTCAGCTCATTCCTATCCGAATGGCATGGCTGCTGTGCACAAACGTGACGCAACTGACTTGTCTTTGTTGGGCAAGGCATTAACTCATGAGCGGGCATGTTGGTACCTTGCCTTTTGTGCGATGTGGAAGGCGATCCTCGCTCTTTCCTCCTATCAACCACAAAGGCCTGCAAACCTGCGTCCATCATGACAGTTTATTGTGATCAAATCATATAAGATATCTAAGGCTGTATTTATTAAAAGATTTAACAATACTGTAATATAAGTCTAACAAGCCTACTTCGTACTGCAGCTAGACCTCATGCACAGCTGCCATGGGTGTGCCCATAAAAAGCTCGGGTTAGAACAGAACCGGGTTAGAATAGAACCCGGTCTCACGCTACCCCTCAAGCACAGTAGAGGAGGGAGTAACCCGGAATGTGACTGCAGCACAATATCTGCAGCACAGAGCAGCTGAAGTGCTGTATTGCCCGAGCAGTCCTTCAAGGGAGAGAGCCAAAAAGGTGGCACTTGGGCTGCTGCCATGCGTATAGAGAGCCAGAAAGTACTCTGAATCCTTTTGTAGCGCCGAAGACTGCCGAAGCCCGCAGAAGCCCCACCGGGGAAGAGGATGTGGGAGGGCGGGCTTGAAAATGTGGGAAGCCGGGAGACAAACACCAGGGAACACTCGTATCGGATTCCTATCACTAAAGAGGCCTACAAACTACCATCCATCAGTTGAAGGTCTCCGCTCCCTGTCATCGTTTATCAGCAGCACCCCACGCAATCACTTCCCTTTGGGATTATCCTCGTCGTCGTCGTCCTTTTTATTGATTTTATTGCTGCCGGCCCCCATGATAATCTTGGGCGACTGGTTGCACGAGAAGTCAATCTGGAGAATACCGCGGTTGGTCCCATGGTACCCCACCGTCTGAAACATGTCTTGAGCGTACGCCCAGATGATGTAGGCTGGCGTCTTCAGGTCCATTATCGGCGCCAGCCCTCCATCCGCGACTTTCCGATAGAACCTGGGGAGAGGGAGAGTAATGGGACGACAGGGGGAAGAGAGAGGGAGGTGTGAGAAGGGCTGGGCGAGGTTTGTTCCCGTGATACCCCACCGTCTGGAACATGTCCTGAGCGTACGCCCAGATGATGTAGGCTGGCGTCTTCAGGTCCATTATCGGCGCCAGCCGTCAGCAACCTTCCGGTAGAACCTGGGGGAGAGCCATGGGGAGAGACGGGAAGGAGAGGGGGAAGGGAGGAGAGATGCATGAGAAGAGGGCTGGGGTCGATTTGGCCGTCCGCGACTTTCCGATAGAACCTGGGGAAGGAGAAGGGGCCGAGAATATAGAGGGATAAGGGAAAAGGAAATGAAGGAGGGAAGACGCGAGGGAGTGCTCGAGGCAGGAAGGGAGCCAGGTTTTTTCTCACCAGAACATGGTGTTGCCCGTGCCAGTCGTAGTCGTCCCTCTGTCGTTACTGAGCGTGAGCCGATTTGACAGCTGCACGCCCGTCTTAGTATACCCCCCCAGCATATATGCCTTCACCTGCCCGCCCGCCAGGTTCCCCAGAACCGCATCCGCGGGAGCCATGGCGCCTTCGCGCGACCAGCCAATCCCGTACCACCCGTTGTCCACGTTGGTTCCGGACTTGGCCTCCACGGCAACCTTGAGAGTGTCCGTTCCGATGATCTTCCAGTGGAGGTAGAGCCTGGGTGGGTGGGGGGAAGGGGAGAGGGTTGACTGCGTTGACTAGGTTGACCTCCACGGCGACCTTGAGAGTGTCGGATCCGATGATCTTCCAGTGGAGATAGAGCCTGGGTGGGTGGGGAGAGCGGGAGGGGAATGACGACGAAGAAAGGGTTGACTGCGTTGACTAGCTTGGCCTCCACGGCGACCTTGAGAGTGTCGGTGCCAATAATCTTCTAGTACAGGTAGAGCCTGGTTGGGTGGGGGAAAAGGGGAAGGGTTGACTGCGTTGACTCGCTTGACCTCCACGGCCACCTTGAGAGTGTCGGTTCCGATGATGTTCCAGTGAAGGGTGAGCCCGAGTGAGGGGAGAGGGGGAAGGGAGGGCGGAAACGACGAGAAAGACGGCTGTAAAACGGGGGTGACGTGACACAACAGGAGTGACGTGGCATAACGATGGTGACGTGGCAAAAGTTGACTGAGCTCACTTGTTCAGCACCAGCGGCGTCGAGAAGGAGAATCCCAGAAGGGGCGACGCGTCGCACGAGTTCCCCGTCTTCAGCCCCGCGCTTCCGCCGCTTCCGCCGCCGCCGCTGCTGCTCGTGTTCTTGGCGGGCGTCACACCGGGCTTGGGCGCGGGCGTGGTCGGAGGTTTCGGCGAAGGCGTTGCGGGGGATTTAGCGGGAACAGACGGAGACTTGGCGGGAATTGACGGATACTTCTCAGGGACAGACGGAGACTTCGGGGGCTTGACGACAGGAGGGCTGGTTTTGGGCGGCGAGGGGGTCTTGGGGCTTTTCGGGTTGCTCTGGGTCGTCACGGGCTGAGCTCCCGCGGCGCAGGTGAGATCAACAACGAGCTCGCCGCGGCGGCTCTTCCGGAGCGCGACATCCTCGGTGTTTTCGACCGACCACGCCCAGATGAGGCGGTTCGGGCCGATCACAACGGGCACTGTTCCGTCGTCCGTGGAGCGAGTGAATCTGACGTGGCAGGACGGGGTGGAAGGACATGAATGAGTGGCGGGAATTTGAAACAGGATTGTCATAGCCGGGGTTCATTTGGCATAATTAAATAACGAAAACGATGGCGGTAGTTACTTACTGGCACGTCTAGAAACCGAGAAGACGAGTTGCAAACAAAGTGCTAGTTGGTGTACATATTATTTGTTCGCGAACTCCATACTTTGATGCTACCACATTCGCCCAATCTCACCTTGCGATGAAGCCGCCGGCTGCAGGCTTTTCGATGCTCGTGTCGCTCAGGTGAACCGACTTCGACTTCAGAGTCGAGCCCGCGCCGTAACCGTAGATATCATAAGCTCCAACTGATTGGCTCGGCAGATTCCCAATGATCAAGTCCGAGGGAAACTTGCTCTTGCGCGCGGACCATCCCACGGCGCCCCATCCGTTCTTCCCCTTGCTCGTCGCCTTCGCCTCCAGAGCAAAGTCGACAGACGATTGGCTCGTAACCTTCCAGTGCAGGCTCAACCCGCCGAGCCGCGTCAGATTGACGGAATTCGTGAAGCCCGACAGAGTAGACTGGAGGCAGGTAGCGGGCCCGATTATCACGTCGTTGTCGTCATCGTCTGCCTGGCTCGCTTTAACCTTTCCATTCGAGGGCTTAGGCTTGGGCTTCGGGCTGGGTTTGGGGCTGGACTTTGGGTTTACCGACCCTGTTTGAGTCTTCCCCACTTGGTTCACGGGACTCTTCCCCGCCGATCCGCCAAACGACTGCCCCGCCGAATTCGTTCCTTGCGAGACGACTGTCGACGGCGTTGACGGCGTTGACGGGTTTGACGTGGGCTTGTTGACCGGTGCCGCAGGAACTGGGGAAGGCTTTGGTTGAGACGGCGCGGGTTTGGTAGGCGGGGGCGATTCCTTCGGCGGGTTGGGCGGGGGGTTGGCGGAGGGCGTAGGCGGATTCTGGCCGGCCGGATCTTCCTCGCCGCTCAGCGGGTCGTCCGAGTCAACGGGAGTCACCGTGGGCATCGAGCCGCCGAAAGGGTCCTGGTCGAATGGGGAACCGCTGGCCGAGTTGCTATAACTGGTCGGCGCGGACGGCGGCAAGGTGGGTGGCTTGGTGT